GTCATTCATCCATGTTTGTGGAATGTTGATGGAGACCAACCAGTGAATGTGAGCACATCAAGGCACTGTGTTCCAGCAGCAGCAACAGTGGGTCACCTCCACTGGTGCATTTTTACAAGTGCAGCATGCAGGCTCTTGTACATCTCTGGTGAAAATACATAGCATTTTGTAGGTCACTGTTGGCTTTAACAAATAGTGTTATTATGCTCTTCGTATCTGTTGTAGTTTTCATGGAAATAAATAGAGGCATTACTTTCGGAGCAATCACCATAATTCTGTACTTCTAAGAATTTGTCTAACTGGGAAAATATCAGATTTCAAAAGAGAAGGCAAAAGTTTAAGCATCTTCTCACAAGCAGAAAAGCTAAGAGCAATACATGCTATCCAACAGGCAACACTGCATTAAGCTTATCGGACCCTAAGAACTCACTTTGCCATTGGTTTTAATGGAGGTTCAACTGCAGGTGATGCAACTGTTCATCAAGACCACTGCTAGGATTCTCCTACATCCTTTTCTCAGAATATTCCTGAATAAAGACACTAGTTACACTGTAAACTACACAGGCACACAAAACCTGTGCAATAACATTACAATGAAAGAAAAACCAGAAATAGGTTCTCCTGTTTGAACAAAGTCTGATTTACAAAATCTATAGGATGAGTAAAAATACTACCCTAAGAAATGCTAACTTTCACATTTCCTCTAAAACATTGTGTAAAACAGTTCTCTTAAAACTCATTTTCTTGTTGTTTTTGTAAAACGTTGAGTGCAGGAGCAATTCAAAAATTAAGCTTCTTCAACTAAGCAGAATTCCTTGGAGCAAAGCAAGGAATTAAAGACCAGACAACTTTAGGATAGCTGGAAAGTCTCTGTTGCTTGAGAATTCAACAGATGCAGCATCTCTATTTTCATTTAGGCAATAAAATAGAGAAAGCAAGAGAAAGAATTATTATTTCAATATAAGTTACAAATCTAGAGTTGAATGGGAGTTCACAAATTGAATAATCTAAATTGCCAGACCTCCAGTATTTGCACCCTCTGTTTTCTCCCATATCCGATGATTTCAGAATTTTTGCTGCATGTATTTCTCTCTGGCAGCTGCAATCTCGCTTTTGCATATAATTCTTCTCACATAATAATAGGAGAACACGATTTCACAGTGGAAAAGGCTTACAAAACCCTCTTGGAAAAATATCAGTAACTGCACACAGAACACTTACAGCACAGTGCTAGGCCTGCCCAGAAGCATGTTTGTTCCCACGGTGAGTATGGAAAGAAATAACCAGTATTACAAGAATTGGTCAGGACCCTTCCCACCGTGTAAAAATTAAGTCGTGATCAAATTGATTTTATGCAACCTTGAAAGGGCTATATTATGATTCAGTGCTTTGGATTTTGCACCGTTGCCAGGTTAGATAATCTATCAAGATTCTTAAAAGTGTTTGCTTTAATCTCAAAACCCCATGGTTTGGGAGCAAATTATTACATAATCAATATGTTTCATTTTAAAACCCATCTCTCTATCCTGCCCATCATACACCTCTGTGGGTCTTATTCTTGCAGAGGAAAGATTGAATGTGACCTGACAGGACCCTAGAGAGGTTCACAAATCAAAAGCAGTGGGGGAGAGAAGTCGAATTCCTTGCGATTTGTGATCTTAAAGGACAACTCAATGTATTTATTTATTTTTAAAAGCAAGAGGGCAGCAATTACCATTGTTAAAAGCTATTACAACTTACTCTTCTTGTTGCATAAACAAATTGCCAGTCACAGAATCACAGAATGGCCAGGGTTGGAAAGGAACTCAAAGACCATGAATATCCAAACCCTCCTGCCACATGCAGGGCCACCAACCTCCCCATTTAATACCAGACCAGGCTGCTCAGGGTCCCATCCAATCTGGCCTTTACATGTCAAACCATTCCAGTCCACTTGGAACTCCATCTTTTTCCCCTGAAAAGTCAGACATCAGAGCTCTAAACAGTTGGCCTGGCAGACAATATCAAGCATGGAACATTTCTGATGGAAGTTCACAACTGTTGTGATGCGTTTTTACACAAGACCTGCAAGGCAAAGTCCTGTGCCAATCAGCCCAATAGGGACAATTATGGGAAGAGTTGGTTGTAATTCCTCACCTTCGTCACCCTCCACAAACTGAAAACTGCCAACTCCACCCAAAGACCACAAACTGCAAAATGAGACCATTGCCACAGGTTAGTAATTAACACGAACTTTTTCATCGTCTTGAAATTGCCAGACAAAAAAATCTTCTATGAATTATCACGCAGGTCCCATCATCTAACATATTCTTAAGTGAAAAGACAAGAGGAGAGACACGTGAGATACTGACCAATGAATAATCTCGACTTCTCAATCCCCACTTGTAACATTTAACCACTGCAAAACTTTGTCCAAATTGTTTGGAACCTTCAAACCTTCAGTCTGAGGTTATTGAACTCACTGCCCTCCTAGCTTTGTTATATGTTATATTTGTAGGGTTCTCTTTGTCCTTTAAATAATGTGTACTCTATAAACACATATTACACCTAATTTCAGAAAGTAATGAAGTGCTGAGGTGCTAATTTTCAGCCATGTAACTGAACAGGAAAGAATGTCTGAGAGGTACTACACACAAAGAAAATCAGCAAGACATAGAAGGAAGTGAGAACCTAGATTTTGCTTGAGAACATTCAATGTATTGGTCAAATAACATTTAGGAACTTTTTGGCAAATCATATATTCATAGTTATTTATTTTTCTAGTGAAATCTCCACAGAAAGGCCATACACTTACAGTCTGTCCTTCTCATTGTGGAAGATCTAATAAAGTCTCACTCCAGAGTAACCTTGTGTACAAGGTGCTTTTGTATTTTATTTGTATTTTTAATCTTCCAGTACTGTTGTACTAAAGACTTTATGAAGATTAAGACATTTGAGATTTTAACTATTAAATAATGAGTAGCTTCATCTATCCCATTCACCCATCCCCACAAACTCATCAGTGTGTGAATATTGCTAAGACAAAGCTGAATCACGTGAGGAAGAAGCACTTTTTCCCCAACCTTCTGAAGATGAATAATTTGTTAGAAGTAATTGCTGTTAGATTCAGGATTTTTTAAAAAAATTCCTGTTTCTGTTTAAATAAAGACGAAAACAGCAACTTCATAATGTTTGCCTCTAGTAGCAGCTAATAGCAGCTAAAAGTCTTACTATACCAAGTTAACATCACCCAGTAGTTTCAGGATTAATTCTAAAACAAGCAAGTTTATCTGATACAATTTTTTTTTAATTGCAGAGACAAGACGTTTCTAATGTAAGATATTAATCTGGGATATACTGTCACACAGTGCTCCAATACCATTCCTGAAAAAAAAAAGTGTTCTCAAGGTCTTTTCTTCTGTCTCAAGCTCTTGTCCAGTCAGACAAAAAACACTCCTCTCTTCCATCCTGCATCAACTGGTGTCACCTCATGGTTCTGTTCTTTAAGTCAGATTTGCTCCAGCATCATAAGCAGTACAACCTTCTTGATGTTGACTTCAAGGCAAGCATATGCCCTCCTAATGAATTGGTTTTGATAATATCTAAACCAGCCTCTAAGTGGAAGCAACTTCCATATCATCTCTCTTCGCTTTTCCTTGTCTGCTTCCACTTTTCCTGCTTGTAAACTGAACAGCTTTCTTGAAACAAACCACCTTCATAGGAGTTCCACTAAACGATCTACTTCTGTCAAAATAACTAAGGGTAACCAATTCTTCTTTAAAGCAAGCGCTACAACAAAAAGTAGCATTTCCTCACTTCCCTGTTCTGAAATGTTTTTAAAATTGACCAGCTGACTCACTTCGTTACGAACTACACTTGTCTTTGACAGCAGTTCTTACGTAGTCCAGATAATTCTTCTCTAACTTATACACACACACTCTATCTGAATAAAAGGAAATCCCAGAAATTACTCACAAAATTTCAGAAGCAACTAAAACCCAACGTCAATAAGCTTCCCAATTGTTTATTACACCACTTTGAGCTTTTGCTCTTCATCTTGAAGAACGGGCAATTGTATAACATTATACACATCTCACAATTAAGTGAGACATTCACAAGACCTGGCCTTTCAAGTATTTCTGAAATAAAATGAGATTCAAGTACCTACTAGAAAATCAGAATACAATCAAACCTCAAGTCATAGCATTTATTTTCCCTTGCTTTCTTCTATCTCCTCTCATCTTTTGTGAGACAGTCTGCAACTGAATTAAATATCACTAGCAATTTGCAAAATTTCAGATTTTGCTTTACATAATCCTACTTCACGTTCTTGGGAGTCAAAGAGACACACCTCAAAATATAAATTTTGTTTCCTTGACATGCATTTTGATCCAATTTTTCTTGAACGGGCTTTTTTTCTTTTGTTACTATTACCTCTATTGCAGTAAATGGAAGTCAAGAAGCACCTGCTGCAGAAACAAAATCCTCTCCTCTCAAGTGTGTCAGGACTGGAGCACACATACTTGGCATGAATAATGTGTAAATGCTTACTGTAAATTGAGGAAAGCCTAGAGTCATATTAGTATCATATATATATATG